CTCGACCACTGCCAGCAAGGCTGTTAGTCTCCTGAGGTGACCAAGACCAGAATGTGGAAATGCCTCCTCACTCCTGCCTTGCTGGATGAGGATCCTAATGCCTTGAACAAGGGATGGCTGAGGGAGCAGCTGTGGCACTCAGGCATTGGCCTTCTGTCAGCTGCCAACAAAGATGTACCATTTGCTAAAAAATTCCCATTTCTTTAGTATTTATAGATCACTGACTAGCCATTTGCAAGAACAGAATTTCACAGGTGCATGAGCTTAGCTGCAAAATTAGAGGTGTACAAGAAAAATCAGTTTTCTCAAGATGATTTTCTCCTTTTTTTTTTAAAGCCCAAAGTCCGGACTGGAATAAGCAAACCTTACAACGTCAAGCAGATCAAAACCACCACAGCTGAAGAAGCAGAAGAAGCTATTAGATGTCTTATGGAGGCCAAAGGAGGTAAGCCCAGCTTTCTAACTGACTTCTAAAAATCTTTAAATAAAGAAAAATGTAGGTGTGTTCATTTCACCATAGCCCAGATGCACATACTCCTATTGGGAATTTCACCTGAATACATTCTTGCAAAATTGTATGTGGTATTCTCTGTCAGTTCTGATAATATTAACCTTTTTTCAAAATTATTAAAATTTTATTTTTTGTTGTAGAAACTGCTACTAGTAGAACCTTGGGTTATTTATGCCCAGATTTAGTCAGAAAAATTAAAATATAAAGATGGAGTTTTACTAAACTGATGGTGCCTGTGTTAGCTCAGAGTTGCATAAACGATATTTGCTGCTCTATTTACTGAATGCTCACTATTCCAAGCAGAACTACAGAGCAAATGCAGCTCTAGGAGGAATAACCTGGATTCTCTTCACATTTGGACAGCAAGTACAGCTGTAACCTAGATAAAAGCTTGCACTACTTCAGCTTGAATAGCTAAGCTAAAAGGCTACTCTGTGTTTAGGCTCTCTGTGTAGTCCCTGGAGAAGAGAGCTTCTTGCAAGGGCAAGTTAGGGCACAAAATTACTGTAGGTACTGTGAATGTACCCCCCAGGGCTGCATGCAGTCTTTCTGCTGATGCTGTGAATGAAAATGGCTACCTGAGTTTGCAAGGCTCTCAGTTTAGGAGAAAACCACCCCTCTTCATTTATACCTAGAATGAATACAATCTGCAATAATCCCATTTATTCAGAAATATCAAAAAGGCATCTTGATGTTTGTTCCTCAGGGATGTTCATTTCATTTTGAAATCAGATTTATTCTCCATTGATTTTGAAATTCAGATTCATTTGGTGTGGGTAAGAAAACTAGTCCGGTCAGCATCACTTCCAGTCCCTTGTTGGCATTTACAGTTCTTTCTAAAACATTCTACAAGATGCACTTGGTATCATTAACTTGGTTTTCCAGATAATGGCAAAAGGATGCTCAGAGCTTGAGCCCAGTACTCCTGAGCCCCCAGCCAGTGTTTTATCCACCTGGCCCAATGGTGGCACAGCACTGCTGGTTTGGCATGAAATTATTTCAGACAGGGAAGTTTTCCCCTAACAGCCTCTTACAGATGTTACAGGATTGCAAAGCTCTGTGCTTAGTTCCAAAACCTGAGCTGGCCCTACAGGCATGAACATTTTGGGAGACATGGTTGTGAAAGAAATTATCTTGGATCTATGTTCTGATCAGGCTGAGATGCCATATTTGCTTTTGCTTTTCAGGAGTACAGGAAGATGCAGTAAAGCCTGTTCCAGCCAGAAACCAAACTTCCTGCAAACCTGAGGCTCTTCCCAGCATCACAAAGTCAGCTTCAGGAGCGGTGCCTGTGCCTCATCGTCCACCACCCAAAGTTCCAACTCCAAAGAAGCCAGTGCCCCTGCAAAGGACAGGAGCCAAGGGGGAAAATGTAAGAGAGTTGCAGCAAAATGCTCCCAGCCTCCATTACACAGTGTGAATGAATGATGGAGGTTGGAACCACTGTGAATGCCTGGCTCTTTTTTGCACGAAGTCCTGTCAAGTCAGCAGGTGCTGGGATAATTTTGTGTATTACAGTCACAAAGGCATAAAAATGCAAGAAAGATTGGAAAGAGAGCCATATGCAGCTTTTCTATTTGTCAGTCCATTCTCTTGTTGTTCTTCTGGTTTGTCTAAACCTTATCAGGATTTAAGACTCATTTGTTCTTTATCACAGCCTCTAATTTTGACCATGAGTTGTCTGCTCTGTAAGGATTTGAGGCAGCTTCTTCATCAGTTCTGTGTCCTGTGTCCTTTCTTGCTTTTCTTACACACCTTGTAATGGGATTCAGCCTTTCAGTTTGAATTCTGGAGTCTACTCAAGAGTTCATGGTCTCAAAAATACAAAGCTGTAGGTGTTCAGGCTTTAATGTATGCCAGGTCTCTACAATGGAGACAATAGTTCACCTCTAGAGCTGCTAAAATGATTATCTAATTTGTAAAGCAGTTTGAGCACAAGAGGAAAGACAAATATAGCATTTATATTCTTCCTTTGACAGAATCTCTGCTAAAGAAGCTCTCTTCTAAATTGTTAGGGCTCCTGCCTTACCTTCTTTTGGTAAAGGCATTCACCCCTTCTCTATAATGGACTTTGTGCTCTCTTTACTTAGCAGATTAACCAAAAAACCCAACCCAGACAGCACAGTCTATGCCGAGGATCGTCAGTGTGTTTTGTTTAGGTTGTCACCATTCCCAAGGCACTCTTGAAAGGTGCTGAGAGGGATTGCTATTTTGGTGTTAGTTATGTGGGAGCTTCTGCAGGAATAGATCTATTTCAGGCTGACTGCCCTGGAATTCCACTCCTTCCTCCATCTGAGGGAGGTCAGATGGGAGGTGTGTACTTGAAAACCTCTACCCAATCCCCCTCTACCACAGTCAAATGCAGGCAACTTAACAGCACATAGGGAGAAGTGGCACCATGAGATACTGACTAAATATTTTGCCTGCATTAAAAAGCCTGTACGTTATCTTTTAATATTATGCAAGAGTAATAAAGAATTTAAATGCTTTCATTCAGTCACACAGAGTGTGAGAAATCTGAAGCAGTCTTTGCTTCTCCTAGGCTGAGCTGGGCTTGTTATTTATATACTTTTAAATGGTGGATGTATGCTAGGCTGGACTTTGAGACCTTATTTTTATCTTCAGTTGCCAGCATCAGTAAGACAGGACACAGCCCTTAATGCATTTATTGGGTTAGCTTAAGCTAATTCTCCTTCAACCTTATCTATCCAAATAAGCTACACCTAAAGGCATGGGCCTCCCCATGCAATCTTGCTTAAGTAATATTAGTCAGCAGAGAGATGGAACAAATAAATAACTCCTCAGAACTGTGTTAATTTGGCCCAGAGCAAAAATTCTAACCTGCAAAGGGACATGGTCAGAAGGAGATGTGACTAAACAGGCTGTAGGGTCCTGGTCCTTCACTAGCTCTCTGAAGGCGAGTGCAAGGTGCAATGCATGAGCCCAGAGCCCAGCAGGTACAGTGGAGCACTTGCTGTCAAGCCTCCTCTTTGTAGTGCTTTTTTTTCCTTCCAGGACTGTCAGCTGTTCTTAGTAATGCTGTCAATTAGACTTGCACCAGTAGTGACTCAGAGTTTAAGGTCCCTTTTTGTTCTCACATTTCTTCTTCTATTTCCTCCTCAGGCCATGTCTCCAGAAGACCAATTCGACCAACAGACAGCACAGTCTCCTTTTGGCTTGCTAGAGCCCCATCTAGATGCTGTAGCTATTCTTAGACCAACCAAGATCACTCCAGTCCCTAAACCCAGAACACAAGCTGGGAAGCCTCAAGAGAGCAGGGGGAGCAGTGAAAGGCAGCCCCTGTCAGCGAGCACAGCTGAGGCCATTGTGCTGCCTCCTCAGAACGCTCCCTTTGCCCCAAAGGTGCCACCACGAAGGAAGAAGTCGGCTCCTGCAGCTTTTCATCTCCAAGTTCTCCAGAGCAGTGACAGCCCCCTTTTCAGTGGGTCACTGTATAACTCCAACAACAACAACCCTGGCTCCTGCCCCCAGACTCATGGCCCTGCTCGCTCGGCTCCCACAGCCTGTGCCGGCCCCGCAAACAGCACAACTCAGCCCTTGGCACCCAGTGCTGCAGAACTGATGGGGAAGCTCCAGGGCCCTTCTGCACCAGCAGGCCAGCATCCACAACAACTGGATACCGGCTCCTTGCCAGAGAACGCCGATCTTCTGGACCTGGACATTCATTCTTCCTTCCCTCTTTCCACACAGGCACTGTCAGCTACTTCTCCAGCACACACTTCAGAAAATTTAAATCACCCCAATGTGAAAGATTTCAGTCACTGGGTTACATTTAGTGATGATGAAGACGGCAGTGCAGTGGCAGACGGGTTCAACAAACTGCTCGTCTTACAACAAAACAAAAATACCTTAAAGAAAACAAATACTGACTTAGAGTTGTAAAATTTTACTCCCTTAGGGTTCCAAAAGAAATCATAATTATGATGCAAAATTTTAAGAAAAAATCTTTTTTATATTTAATGAAATAGATCATCTGTCCATGCTACATTTCATTTTCACATTTAAAGATACGGCCCCTGGAGGGAAGTATATGAAGTACATACAACCTAACATTACCTACAGCTCATCTGAAAACTTCCTTATTCTAAGTTATTTCTTTTTATTAATCCATCTTAAGATGTTTTATTTCATTTCAGGTACAAATCATATGCAAGAACATGTAATGATGTATGGAAAAAAGACATTTAAAAAAACCCCAACATTTTCCTTTGGAATATATATTTTAATCAATTTCTGTTGTTTGAAATAAAGCATCCTTACTTCGAAGAGTTCATCTGCCAGTTATTCTGGAACAAACATCCCAAGGAGGAATGTACACCAGTATAACAACAGCAGTAACACTGGTGTTGCTCTGCTGCAAGTTTCCAAAACTCACCCTGGTTTTTGTTCCAAGCCCATGACCAACAGCACACTTTGAAAGGAACTGCAAAGAGATGCTATAGGCTGCTTGTGCATTGTCTATGCGGATCCCGAGGAAATATGGGAATGGTTGAGACCAGCTGATGCCACAGGTGTTGACATGGGCATGTCTTATGCTAAAGGCAGTTCAGCAATTCAGGAGTTGTGTCCCTGTTCCCACTCTCTTCCCAAGCAAATGCCATGTCGGTCTTCTGTTTCCACAGCGCAGGTGAGGAGCGAGCTGGTCCTTTCTGCCTTGCCTGTGGGGCAGAACTGTGCACGATGGCTGCCATTTGTGCAAAGCAGGCAGCTAATAACCAGATTGCAACTTGTCATGGTAACTTGTTAAGAGAAGCATCAAGATCTTTCATTAATAAAGGAACAAGAACATTTTTAAGCAGGTGGTAAAGCTGAAAAAACAACTAATTTTCAAAAAAATTTTTATGATGTATTAAAAAAGTTAAGGTTTTTTTCCTTTTTCTACAGGAAAATTAATTAGCTTGTTCTGAGCTTCCCGAACACTGGGAATGCAGCCATTTTCTTCCTCACAATGCCTACCTGTTTGTCTGCCACTGCCAGATTTTGAACACAAGAGATCCTGTAAGAGAGGATGCTGCCTTTGAGCACCTGTCATCCTCCTCTGCTCTCTCATTTGCCAGACACTCCAAAAAAACCCCCAGAACCTTCAAAGGCCAAGCCCATAAAGCCGAGTGCTAAGCTTCTCCTGTGTGTGTCAGCTTAACGTGGTTGCAGGCTGGTGAATAATAGAATATACTCATTTCCCTACAAGATGACACAAAGCCTTTGCCTCTTGGTCCTCCTCTTAAAAAATACAGTGAATATTTATGGGCACATCTCAGTATGAAACATTAGCAGTAAAAAAGAAAGAGTACGGTATATGATCACATCCAACATTTTCTGCAAAGATAATTAACAGCTCTAGGACAGCTAATTTACATGTTAATGAAAGTGTTAGCAGGAAAGCCAATTAAACTGGATTTATACAAGTCAAATAAAATCTGCTTTATTACTCTCCTTGAATAAGAGACGGATGTGGCCTTTAGCATTCTCTTATGTCTGTGTCTGTGGCAAGCTGCCCACTGAAGGATGAATCCCAGCAGCTCGCTGCTTTATGCTGTCAGTGACAGGAGATATTGCTCAGTCGCAGCAAATCAAGGCAAGGGGACAGACAGTCCAGCTGAAAAGGTTACAGCACAGAATGAGGAATCTCCTGTCCCAATAAATTACCTTCCACACTGATGCCCAATGTCCCAGCCAAGTGTTTTCTCAGAGGCAGGAGCTTGTGACCTGCTTGTGATCTGGTTCTAGTTTCAATGGTCAGAGGAAGCAAAGCAGTGCCAGACTTGCTCCATGTTTGGGAAATCACTATGGAAAACTCAGACTGCAGGAGGCAGTGACTCTTTCCTTCTCATCTGGGATTAAGCCAGGCCCCACCATGCAAAAAGAGGCCAAGTAACCTGAACCCTTACTACCCTGATGTCCACAACCAGGGAATCACAGCACAGCTCTGCTGCCCATCCTCATTGGGACAGAATCAATGGAAATCAGTGTCCTCAGGGACAGCTGCCACTCTTCAGGGGCATATTTGTATGGTTGTAGGGAGTGGTTATCCTGTGACATGCTTTCAGTCATGAAGCCAGCACTTGGCAAAAAGTGCTGATGGCAGCTGTGAAGCCAGGTATGATTTACCAGACACAAGTCTACAAGTGTGTGCCTTTAGTATGTGAGGCTTTGGCAAGACACCACACATGAGCTTGCCCATGGCTGCAGTCCTGCAGCTTCAAGTTGCAGTAGGCACCCTGGTGGCTCTGCTGCAGTCGTGTTTGGGGTGGATAAGTGGCTCTCCTTGGTAAAGCAACTGCCTGATTCAGCTTTTTTAGGGAGGTTATCACTGAAACAAACAAAAGAAAGAGAACCAAAACATTGGTTAGAATTTTCACTCTGGCAAAACACCATTTTTGCTTTTCCCTTTTCATCCAGAATTGGGATTTTCACCAGATGGAAAACTTCTCATCATCTTTTGTGCATCGGGAAGCACAAATCTCAGCAGGAGCCAGTTCACAGCACTGTAATCACAGCCATTGAATACTTGGTTGCTGTTAATGCTAGAAACACCAACAGTTATACCAGACTGCTGGACAGCAAGAGCAAGAGGACTGACCAACCCCTTTTAGCCTTCCCTTCCCATCTCACCATTTCCTCTTGGATGCCACAATGCAGATGAAACATCATCTCCTCAGACAACTCACACACAACCTGCCTGCCACACCTGCAGCTGAGCCACTGGATGGCATTAAGAGAGTACTTTGAGACCTGAGAGTTTACACAAAGACACTACTCTCAATTAATGTGACACCAGGAAGCATAAAAGCATCCAATTCCTGATGAGAAGCAGACATGAATGCTCAGCCACAGAGCTGCTGGCCCTCAAACTGATGTCTGTACACACTTCAGAAGACACTGCTGCAAAATCCAAAAGCACAACTGACAAACTGCTCAGTTTGGCAATACGTGCCAGACCAGCCACCCCCCAGCACTGTGCCTCCTACCCAAGCAAAGGGCAATGTCACATTCTCCCAGCACAAGACAAGCACTAAAAGATATGCAGATCTTTAACAAAAAAGAACATGGTCCAGAGTATTCAGCTGGCAGATCATTAACCTTTAATACACTTTGTGACATATCCAAGACATTTTAAAATCACATTTCATTAGTATATTCCAAAAAAATAAAACCCAAACCCCCAAACCCAGCAACCTCCCACCAAATATTAGTTTTAGAAGTTACACATATATAAATACAGTTACAAAAAGGAGAACATTGCCTTAAGAATTCCAGTTACAAAACATAGATGCATTTGCTAAGATTAATGTTTAAAGTCACTGATCTGAATCTGTGTAAGCCAAAGGAGTCTACTAAAACTAATAGATTTGTCACATGAAACAAGCATTCAGTTATTAGAAGCCTTGTCTATTCACCATGAATTCCAGATACTCTACTCTGTGCATACAAAGTGTACTACTATATTTACACTCTGAAGTCTAAACCAGTGTAAAAAATATAGACCTCTTCAGGAATAATGACATCTCTGTTACATTTTCTATACAAAATACTGCCATGCAGTGTTCTTACCTACCTCTCAGTTAGGGGGGGAAATGCTCTTTTTGCCAGTGTAGTGCTGTACAGTCTCTGTACTGCTCTTGTGAATTTTACTTTGCAGTTCCCTCAATTTCCAGTGTAAAGTTGTATTCAAGTCTACAAATTCAAGTGTATTTTGCGCTGGAGTGTCCTCCTGGGCTGCCCTCAGGACCTGGCAGGACTGCAGTGCCCACAGCACCAAGGCCATGCAGAACTGCAAGGTGCACCCCACCTCCTTGGCAGCTTTCAGAGCCATCATTTGAAGGACGCTAATACTGGATCCATCTCACAGGAGTGGCCTGAGGAGACACCTCAAGCCTGTCATCAATACAGACCTCATTTAACAAATGGTCAGCAAAGGCAGTACAGCTTTACACAGCCCATGTTTGTTTTCAGAGAGGGATGCAGGTGTAAAGAAAGGGACTAAAGAGACCACAATAACATGAGGCTGCTTTTAGCCACAGTGCAAATTATTTAAGACTTCAAAAAAGTGACTGTGCACTGCCATTTTTTCATCTAAAAATACTGATTTCTCATCAGTACTGTTAGGGTATCCTAAACATAAACAAACAAACTCAAATAAGACACTGCTGGTTTTCTCTGTATCTACACCAGCAGACATATTTGGGCCCCAGGAAACCAAAACATTTGTGGTAATTTCCAGTGAGGCCTTACAATCACCTGATTTTCTTCCTGCTTTACCTTTTTCTACCTCAGCTTCAAACTGTAAGCATCAGCTTTCTTGTCAGGGCCTACATCTGTTGTGCTCCACCTGAGCATTTTCAATGCTCTTCTTTAAATCAGCTACAGAAAAGTTTCTGTATGAGTAACACGAGCCAGGGATTTGACTGTACCAACTTCCTGGAGTCTCCCAAGAGCAAAGAAGAAGAGCTGAGCTCATCAAACACACCCTCAATGTGAGCAAGCACAGAACTGCCCTGTCTGACCAGATACACACTGTCCTAAGGAAAGCAGTCTCACAAGCTGCTAAGGTTAGGAGGGAAATGTACAAGATGAACATTTCTTTTTTTTTATTTTCATTAAAACAACCACAATTTTCTAAGCAAGGCAAGCTACCAACCTGTCTCTTTCTCATGCAGAAAAACAGATGCTGTGTCTGCTGACCAATCTGGCTGATGTATTAAAAGAAAAGGCAAATGACAAAACCTCCTAAAATTGGGTCACTAGGCCAAAGTGCTACCTTAATTCACTTGAATACTAATTTTTCAGGCTCCAGTCAGGCTACCCTAACATGGACAGTAAACCAAAACTTTGCAGCAGCCACATGTTGCTTCTGCCCTTTGACACAACAAATAACCACCTCATTTAATTGTTTCTAATCCTGTCTATAAGACTTTATCCCAGGTGTATATTTACCTGCTTTCAAAGCAAGCTTAGGTTGGTTTTTTTGCTAAAAGAAGATACCCTGGGCACACACTTTCTTTTTGCCAAGTTTGTATTTGTTTTGAATGTATTTTGAAAAAGAAATGGACAGGTGCCTAAAGTTCAAGATATACAAGAAATTATTCAGCAGCAGATACTATTGACACAGCACCCTTGTAATTCTGCAGATCCCCTAACAAATGTTAGAAGTTTCTGTGTTACACCAAACACAGGACACAAGCAGGAAAGGATGGCAAAACCTCAGTCTCACAGTTCTGGGGCTAAAACATCCTGAATGAACTTCAGTGTACGTTGATACAGGAAAGCATCCTTCTTCTTTGGCTTGCAAATATTTAGATGATTAACATCCACTGGAATAAGGTCTCCAATTCCTATGTCTGGAGAAGGGAAAAAAAAAAAAAGAAAATCAAGTTCATAAGACAACCTAGACTGAAAAGAACATCTTGCATTAGCAATCTCTCTCTCAAAAACAACTTCTCCTATCTTCAGTAAAACTCTTTGTGCATCATTATTTTTTCATGTGCTAAAAGCATCAGTACACACAGTTATGGCCTGATAGAGCTCTGTGCTGCCACAAAACCCACACTGGCACATGAGACACCATTAGGTCAGAGTTCTACTCTTTTTGAAATACACAAATGTACATTTCTCCATACAGACAACTTTGCTGAAACAAAATTTCATTTTACTGATAGCACAGTCCTGACTGAGGTTTAAGCATTGATATGATCAGGGATGTAGTTTAATGCATGGTAACCTGAACCTGATCACCACTAATTGCCCATATCCCTTACACAAATTGACATGGACATTAAAATCTGGACTACAATGAACCTGAAATTTGCTGCAAATCACTATGCACATTTCCAGATAAATGAAATATTTACATTGCTTTATTGTAGAATACAAATATTCCATTTTCAGCTGATTTTGGGCACACTACAGTACAAAATTTATTCTTTCTTGACAGCCATCACTACTAACTTTCCAGTTAGGATGCTGTGACTGCCACATTCTAGTTTATTGTCTATTCAGTCATCACCGAGAGAAATCCTCCATTTTCCTTTGACTTCTGTATCTCAAACCATGTAAAACTACACTAGAGCAGGATGAAGCTCTGCTTTCATGTGCCCAAGCAGACCTGCAAGAAAACAGGGAGCTGTTTACCCATCAGCCTGTGTTTTGAACAGAGTGGCCTGCTACAGACCTGCCATGTGCCCTCCAAAGGTGTTCCAGAGCACTCAGGTGCTGCACTAGGTGTCACCCCTAGAAGAGGAGACGTGCTACAAAATTACAGGTGCACAATACTCACTGGGGTTCTGTTATTCAGCCCTCTTTTCAACCTTATTTTGTTAAATAACAACAAAACAAGGTTCAGTTTTTCAGTCCTTGGCAATAAAACTGCATCAGCAACATTTTTGCAAAGCATTGCTGCTCCAGAGGATCTGCTGCAAAAAACTGCTAAATAGTGACTCAGATAAACAGGGATGTACAGCCCACCTTTTCCAGAGTACCTAACCCTGCACTCAAGCTTGTGATTTAGCTGGTGGAAAGCCTGATCTAAAACCTAACAAAGCAGTGGCTTCTGGCTTTACAGATACCTTGGGCAGTGCAAAAGAAAGACTGAAAATATAAGACTTAAAACAGTTTTCTAAGCTGAACACACATAAATAAAAGCAAGGGAAAAACATGTCTGGTTTCCCCTTCTCCTAAAAAAGGCAAAAAGATGGAGGGAACTCTTCAGGAGGCAACCTCTATTGCTGGAGTTCATGAGATGTGGAAGGTAAAGGATTCTTAACACTGAAAACCAGCTTTGTGACTTTTTCCTTCCATTAGCAGTTGCCTAATTTTCTTTCTTAGTTTTTTAAAGGAGAAAACAGCTGGAGTTTACAGAAGCATCTGAAACACTATGCAGCCTACCTATTCAAAGATAAACCACAATTAGTCATAATTCCAAATGAAAGGACTCCAACATCAGACCAGGGTCTACCCTGCTTTTTTAACAGATGTTATTCTGATTTCACAAAATCAAAACAAACAACTGTTATTTTAAGATCTAAATGTAGCTGCTTTTGATCTCAGTAGTCAAAAGTTTAAACAAAAACCCCCACACTGTAGTAGCCTTATTTTTCTACATTTTTACCATAACATTTATAACCTTTTCTCATTATTGATGTTTACATCAACAGATATCAAATTAAATAAATTAAATGGCTATTTCTCACTTACCTGCTGACTCTACAGGTACAACATGCAGTTTTAACATGCTGCCTATGTGTGTGGGTAGGGTTTCTGCAAAACTCAGCACTGAAAATTTCTTGTCTTTGGCAAAAGACAAGAAGTCATCATTCAGCTCTTTAAGGGCAGGAGAATCTGAGAAAGAGCAACATAAATTTTACAGTGTTACAAGATTACAGCATTCTTCTGGCAAGGGTGAGAGATGTTTTTATTACTATGACAGTAAAAGGTGTAGCATTTCATTTGTAATCCCTTTTTCCAGCTAGCATATGCAATAATTCCTTCTAACTCCCCCTTTTCCCCTCACCTCTGCAATCAAATGAAACAACTACTCAGAATTGCTTGCAATAATTTAACACACAGCCCAAAACATAAAAAGGAGGTTTGTTGGTTTTCCCCAGCTTTCTCTGACAGCACAATGAAAAAACCCAAAGCACCAAGAACAGCTTAGCAGAGTTCCTGTTGCTCGATGGTAGCAAAGTGAACATACCCTTGCTGAGCTCTTTAACCTCCACAGATGGGAAGAGGAGATATCTGGCATTTATAGAATATTCAGCCAGCTGGGAACCATGGTGAGGTACGCTATAAAATATGATTCCTCTGGTGTTGTTTACAATTTTATCCATTTCTGGATTCTTGGAAGCATCCACCAGCATCCTTTTGACTAGAAGACCTGGCAACAGAAGCTGAATTAATGCAGGGATTTAAATCACTGGGAAATAATGACCATGCTATATTAACCATGAGACAACTAACCATATTCTTGCCTTGGTTGATTGGTCCTTAGATTGTCAAATATGTAAGATTAACTTGAAAAAAACCAAATCACGCTTGAGGAGGCATCAATATAAAATGTCAATGAATGATGCAAATCCAAATTTGATTTCTGTTATTTGTTGCTAATGACATTTACTATGTGCCTGATCATGGAGAAAATTCTGCCTCTGGATTTCCATTTACATGAATTTCAACTCAATGAGTTTTTAAATCAACACAGTAAGAACAAACAGCAATAACAATCCTTTCAAAATGTATATGCTATTAAATATAATGCATTAAGAAAATAGAAATCTGTTTTTCATTTTTAGGTCTTCGCCAATTTTTTAAATAAACTATTCTGAATAATTGCATTTCTACCTGAATTTAGTTAATGGCTTATTCTGAAACCTTTAATGCAAATAAATGCTTTATACCAAACAGGCAACACGCTTACCACCCATGCTATGGGATACCCACACCAGAGGTCTGTCTCCAATCCCAGCAGCTTTGAGCTTGTCAAGCAGCTCACTGCTCCTGAAAGCAATAGACTCCCTGCACAGAGAAAACAAACACAGGCATCATGGAGCGTGACAGGCTAAAAGGCAATGCTAAAACACAATGAATTTTAGTGCTGCACATTTATGAAAGTGAATTAGGTAAACAAATATTAATTATTTCATTATTGTTTCTACATTGAAAAAAGCAAAAAACTTTTCTAAGGATCGCTTCATAAGGACAATGGGAATTGAGCTAAATTCAGTTTCTTGCTCTTGCTAGGAAGTCTTACTTTAATTTTGCTCAGCAAACATTTCTGTTTTCTTGACAAGTTGTTTTATAGAGTTTTAAATAGTTTCATTATACACATTGTAGCAAAACAGTTGTTATTCTGTGAAAGCAACATCAACACATAATGAACTTTACACCCTGCACCATGAACAAACCTCATACACACTTTGCTATACAATGCTCAAAATATGGAGCAATGCACAGAAATTTAAAAACTAAGTGCATGATGAACCAATACATTTAAAAAATCACAACCAATGTCAGTTATACTTGCCAGACAATCTCCAAATGCTTTCTACTGGAATAGTATGAAAGCACAATAATCTCCATTTTATAAACAAGAAGACTGAGCTCTGGAAAGGATAAGCTACACATTAAAGTTTGAAAATGAATCTGTGGTAGAACCAAAACAAAACCAATGCCAATGCCCAATCCAAGCCTGAAAGTGCAACACTTGCACTTTGCTTTGCTCCTTGCAGTGTAACCAGAATCAAACACAGAAGGTCCTTGGGTAATGAAAACATCAGGATATGGGGGCAACCACTGTGCAAAATAATTCACTTCATCTCTATTGGTCTCAGCATTCTCACTAGAAATTGCTTTATAACACATATGAAAAGAATAATCAAATGTGTCTTTTCAGATGAACAGTACGCTCTAGGCTAGCAGAGAGACATAAAAATTCACTTCTGAAACAGTGAATGAGACTGTACATTTAAGACCAAACCTAAGGTTGTTTTTCTACTGCAACCTCATTGTTCCTGCTAGTTAAAAATATCTTCAATATCTCTCATTTATTATTAACCTCATAAAATTATAAAATATTATGGTTGGGTGATCATAAATAGCTAGTAATGTAATTTTCCATTTTGTAATGAAAAAGATGTTATCTTTGGGAAAGAAAAAGGAAATATATGTTTATTTCTTTTAACATACTCGCTCCAGACAGACACAAGGAGAGTTTTCTTAGAATCATACTATCATTTACATTTAAAAGACCTGCAAGATCATGGAGTCCAACTGCTAGCCCAAGGTGGACTGCCAAGTCCACCACAAACCCATGTCCCTAAGAGCCTTATCTGCCTGTCTTTATATTATCTTCAAGGATTGGGACTCAATCACTTCCCTGGGCAACCTCGTCCAGGGCTTGACAATGCTTTTAGTGAAGAATTTCTTCCTAATACCCAATCTAAACCTCCCCTGGTGCAATTTAAAGCCAATTCCAGTCTTCTAGGACCTGCACAGGTAACCACCTACGTGCTCCTTACTGTAATTTTTCTGCCTAATTTCAAATAGGCACATTAACAGTCTCGTGTTCCTCATTTTCTCCCTGCTTACACATTTTCCTTAATGCAATAATTGCACTGATCTTTCATATAGCCAGAGAAAAGAGGGAATGAACAAGTACCAAGTTCCCAGTCTATTATACATGTTGAATTTTCTTTCTTTTTCATGCACCTGCCCCTGCTGCAGTACACAAGTTGAATTTACAGTACTACTTACATGCCTAAATATCTGCATAAATGTTTGAAGCATTCTGATTTAAAGATCACTGAACCTAATAACCAAATTCTATTCAAGACAAAAAAAATCTTTACAGGGTCAAAGTGTTCTTATTTTTCAACATGTTTGGAGGTAGCATCTTCCTCTGACCTACCCTGTTCAAGGTCAGTAAAAGCAGCATTCCTCTAGCAAGGACAATTACATTCTGATTGAATCAGATACAGTTATTGTATTTTATCACCAAAGTAACATTTTTTGAACAACAGTATGTTTGTACCAGAAATAGTGTGGCCAGCAGGACTAGGGAAGGTTTGGTGAGGCAGCATCTCAAGTCCTGTGTTCAGTTTTGCGCCTCTCACTACAACAAAGACATTGAGGCTCTACATCAGGTCCAGAGAAGGGCAATGGAGTCACTGAAGGGTCTGGAGCACAGTTCCTATGAGGAGAGGCTGAGGGAGGGATTAGCCTGGAGAAAAGGAGGCCCAGGGAGGACCTCACCACTCTCTACAGTCACCTGAAAGGAAGGTGTAGCTGGATGGGGGTTGGCCTCTTCTCCCAGGGAACAGTGACAGGGACAAGAAATAACAGGGAAGGTTTAGGTTGGATACAAAGAAAAATTTCTTCATCAAAAGCGTTGTGATGCTCTGAAACAGGCTTCCCAGGAAGTGCTTGACTCCCCTTTCTTTGAAGCTTTTAAAAGGCATGTGGATGTGGCACTTAGGAACATTGTTTTGTGGTGGCCTTGGCACTGCTGGGTTAATGATTGTACTTGATCATCTGAAGGGTCTTTTCCAACCTAAATGATTCTATGAAAATATATGCTTCATTTTATCAGGAGTATAAAGCCACAGTACAGTGATTTTTTTTGCTGTGCTTATGAAGCATTATTGTGTCACTTTAAAAAAGACACATCTTGAGACATAAAGTTACACTTTCATTAACTAATAGCATCATTTAGTGTCGCCCTTAATATGAAGCAAAACAGACTAAGAATTCACAAAATTGCCACATGTAGCTATCCACGAGGCTAAAAACTTCAGCATACCATGATTATACTTAATGGTTTTCCTAATTTGATTTTTCAAAGCAACAGGAAAAGTTAAATTGACTCTTTAAGAGTAGGTGATCCCAAGGATCAGCTTTACAGGTCTATGTCCTGGCCCTGCCTCCAAACTGCAGATGCTGCATTTCTTACCTTTGAGCCTCAACAGGACATTTTGCTTTCCAGTCACTCAAATGGGTGTCATACTCCACAGATATGATCCTAAGGGAAGGACAGTCTGAAGCAAGCCATGTCTAAATTAAAGAAAAGTAAAACCAAAGGAGCTTATAATTGATGTACTTAAATTCTTGAAAGCAACGGAGAAAAGATGTTACTATGGGGACAATATCAAGAAAGACTTTTGCTCTTCGGTTAATCCCCAAATACATGTTACACCTGGATTGTCATTCTTTTATCACATGCTGGTGAATTCTACATTGATTCTGAGGCACAAAGCAGGCAAAGAATGGAGATTCATCTCTAACTCGTGCATTCCTGGCTCCCTCTCCTGGGTGAAATGAGTTACTAAGATTGCCAGCAGGACTGATCAGTTCGAGTTTCAGAGATACTTTTAGTGGCTATACCAGTGTGTTTGCTTGGAGCAGTAATTACTTATTCACCAACAATACTCAAATAGCAATCTGCACAAAGTAAGGTACTCAGACACCTAGGTAAGAAAGGGAACTTAATTTAAAATGTTATTCTATAAATCTTCCTCAGCAATAATGTTCCATTAAAAAAAGAAAAAAAAAAAGAAGAGAGAGCATAAGGAAAGCAGCCATTGCCACCTCTTGCAGTAGCATGTGAATGATGTTGAGAACATAAAACTTAGCAGGGATTTCTCCTTGCAAGAACAACAAACAAGTCATTAACAAAAACTTATAATCAGGAACTTGGAAACTGTCACTTGCATAACAAACTACAAGTAATTGAATGAGAAAAAGACATCTGCCAGACAGTGTCCTTCTAGATGCTCAGGACAGCTCTCCTGAATCAGCAAGTAGCAGCCACATGTGAAAATGTCACTGTTTTTTTACCTTTGGCCAGCACTGAGTGTATTCCTCCTCCCCTTCTGAGGCCCTTCTATCCAAATGCCGGTCCATGTCCTGCTGCCGCCAGGTTTTAAATGCTGCTCCCAAAAGCCCATGAACGAAGAGGATGTCTGCTCTGACAGGCTGGCTGATCAAGCAAAAGGAAATTGTAAGAGATATGTGGTACCTGTCCTTTTAGCAAATTGAAACTTTTAACCTAAGGGATGCCAAAATGCTTTTTTTAACATGACATGTGACTTCTTACCTTACGGGCAACATTTCATGATATTTCAAAGAGCATACTCAGAAAAAAACAAAAATTAGGGAACCACACAGAAGAAAGATATCAAATGAGGCATGGAAAGTATCCATATCATAAATCATAATTCTTTATAATGAAAAACACCTTTCCTGCCAGCCACTGTTCATGTGGCTTGGTAGCTCCAGCCTTATCATCACATTAGATCTTCACTGTAACCAGAGTAACACCAATGACCCAGGGAACAGTTACCACTGACACCCAGACTGCTTTAGTCCCAGACTCACAATCACAGTTACTGAGGATGAAAATTTACTGCAACTTAGGCCAACATGTGCTGTTGCCAGTAGAATAATTACAAGGCACTGTATCCCAAGAAAAAGTGCAAAGGTCAAACAGTTGCAACCCACACAAAGCAGCAATTGATTTCATGTCTTGTGTTCAGATTTTCCATGCATGACAGTAATACTCTGTCCACACCTAGGGACTGCTCCAACCCCCTTTACTCTTCTTCCACCTGAGAATCTAAATTCAGCCCTTTCAACCCACCAAAGAACAGGAGAGGCAAGGTAACATCAGTACAGCAGCACTCTGATGTCAACTCTTCCAAAGTGTTGTAACAGAACAGCAGAACAAGTAACTCCAAGTACAGCATGTACAATGACTCCTTCTACTTTACCTGCTACGATATTGTGGATGTAAGACATAAACACCATCTGCATATTTTTCTTTCACCATGTCCCTGTCTAGATTAGCCAAAGCTCTGGATGCATGAGAAGACTGAATGATGTATGGGGATTTCATTACTTCAGCAAGAACAGAAACCCAACCTACATTGAGAAAAGGAAGGGGCAGGTCAACTAACAGAAACATCATCTGAACAACAGAATTCAGAAACATCAACCATCAAACCATACATCTGAAAATAGATGTTAAAACTTAAGAATGGCAACGTCAAAATAAATTAATTCAATCTACTCTTTACCTCAGGAAAGTGAAGGCTAGCTAAGTGGAATCTTCTAAATTTAAAATTCAGATGTATTTTACTACTGTTCATTTTATGATCTGAAGAAGAACCCCTTTCTCAGAAGAAAAAGAAAGTGTATCAGCAGGTCAGTATAGCTGTAGCAAGAACAGATCTCAGATCCCTTTTTGCAGCTAAAATGCCAGGAAGATGGAGACAATGAAGCTTAAAGCATAAAAAAGGTATAGAAAACAACCTACAGAAGCAATGGCAGGTAAAAAAATTTGGTGCTTGTTGTGAAAGTACAATAATTTCTAATTCTAAAATCCAGCATAAGAAAAATTCTCTATGTGATTAAAATATCTTCACTATTCTAAAATTTGTATACTATTTATACATTAGAAACATAAGACAAATTGGATATAATCCTCAATAAAATTTTAAGTCAAAGATAGTATGGCTTACAAACACTTTATGAAACTTCACCTAAGGTGTAAAATTTTCTCAAACATGGAAGGCAATTATCACAGACTACTGAGAAATGTAAAGGAATATTTTTAAATGCATATGCACACATTTCTTTCAAATCCTGATAAATCTTGTTGTTGCTAGCAAAAACAGCCTATAAATCAGTTAGATTACAGTCAAGTCCAGAAATAAAACCTGGGAATTTACTTCATGAGCATTGTTTCAAAACCATTACATTATGTTGTTACTAGTATAGTCAGTAAGCTGCTAATTCAAAACCATTTACTGTAAACTGAGAAAAAGAACAAATTGACATTTGAGTTTTGCCTTAAACTAACAAAACTACTAGGACCTTTCAGGACTCTACTCTTTTTTAAGAATAATGTATTTAAATTATGTTTCTAAGCAGAATACATGCTGACCACTGTGAAAGTTATACTTAAGTATAACTTAAGTATATCTTAAGTCTACTTTCAGTTCTCCAAACACAATGGAAGATAGTCTGACTAAAACTAGCTTGGTCTCTGGTTTTGCATTTCTCAGTCAAAATGAAGAGTCAAAAATAACTGTTCAGAATCAAAAGTAAGTGCTCTACTCCCAGATATCCCATCACAGCTACTACACAGTGCATTACTGTTTTTCCTCTTTATGTGCCAGCAGTTTTTGCAAGAAAAAGAGCCTCAGAGGTTCTTTCTTCTTATGCATCATCCAGCAATAAAAGAGAAGCTTTATCAACTCTGGACTAGTAGTATCCAACTGCTCATCTCTGGAGTTTGATTCACTGCCTAAAATTCCTCTTGTACTGAGAGCTCTGTCCCAGGGAGATGCTGACACTCCTGCTTCAATCTCTTCTTCTACATGTATGGTTTCAGCAATCATTAGGATTTAAGAATTGTGCCAGAACCCGGGACAAAGGCCTTTATGTCCAGCTGCCTTTCTTCAGAAGTGAGCAGTATGGAAGCTGCAGACCAATATAAGAATAAGAATACAAAAGGACAATTATACAATTCTGATTCTAGTCTATACCTTCAGATTTTCAGCAGTCAACTTTGTTTCCATTTGTAGAACTTTATGGATTTTTCATTTCATGAATTTGTCTCATCACTCTTTGAAGCTCTATGAGTCTTCCACTACCATGTTTTGTGGCAAGTTTTATTTTGGTCACACAACATATGGAAAATACTATTTATTTGTTCTCTCTTTTTATAATTTAATGTACAAGAATCTTTGGTCTTGCATTACAACAAACAGCAGATGACCATTCCCTCTTTGCCTTCTCAATGCCAGTGAAGAGAATTTTATAAATCTCTGTCATATTCTCTTCCAGTTGCTTTTTCCATGCTAAGTGTCTTAGTCTAGTTATTTGTTCTTCATATCACAGCCATTGCAAATTTTTAATCACCCTCACCATCTTTTCCCATGCCTTTGCTTCTTCTCCTTTGTGTAAAAATGCACACTGTAATTAACATCAAACATCAGCTTGGACTTACAGAATTGCATATTGACATTTTCTATTTATTTCTTTTATTTATTTATCTGAAACTTTTGGAGTAGAAGACTACCACTGAGACAGCTTGCCTTTTACCTGCACGTACTATGGATGAGTGCAGATGTTCATCCAAAGCCATGTTCCCAATAATGCGGATTATGTTCCTCTGGATCTTTGCAGAATCTTTACGTAGCTGGTATATCCTCTGCAGTAGCTGGAGGCCTCCTTTAGCTTCAATTTTATCACAGTGAGAGGAAATCTGGGACGACAAAGTAAATGCAGTGACAATAAATAGACATTCTGCAAAAGGATTTTTAGACACTGTTAATTCATAAATTTGAGGGTTTTAAGAAGTAGGTATAACACACCCCTTGTTGCATAGAAATTAGATTAATCTAGAATTTATTATGCCATATTTGAAGAGGAAATAAAGGTTTTAATATGCAACATGCATAATTCCTATAAATTGACAACTTGAAAATCTCAGAGTATGAACTCTCTACCCTTCTTCATGTCTGAGGGAGATGAAATGCTCTCCACTTGGCATGATCAAATTTCAACTCAAGTTCGAGAGTCTGAACAGGTCAATTGTCTGTATTTGCTAAAGCACTATCTCAACCAGAGCCACTTGTCCATCACTCAAAATGCAATCATTATAATTCCTTCTCTTCAAAATGAAAAAGACTTTTTTACATTCCAAATAGTACTGCTATCATTACTGATCCTAAGACAAACAATTTAGTCCAGATGAATATGCAGGGTAGCTTTGGAACTGCTGATATCCTCAAGCCTGTGGCTTTCAACAGGCATTTGGAATGAGTACACACACCTTGCTTAAACTGAAAATCTCAAATGTAACAAATTCTAGACTAAGTCAGAATTTCCATGTATGTGGAAGATGTGAAAAGAATACCAGGAAGCTGCACTTTATCCATCCCAACTATCAGTAACCATTTGGTGTTCTCAACACTGTTTTTCAGTATTCTAGGCTTCTGAACAATTAAGTGTACACAGAAAAATGTAGCAATAGGAAACAAGATGCAACACTGTTACAAAATGTCTTCCATACTCCTCATCTGTGCCTACAAAAGCAGACTGGTCCTGGGAAGACCACTGTATTATTAGCTGTTTGCTGTGCAATATTCTGCCCAAAGAATACCTTTGTGTATGGGTAAGGTCTGCATTCTGTTCTGGTTTCTAATTAGAGTGAATTCATGACACTATTTTGCTTTGTGAAAACCAGGCATTACATCCTCAGAGCTGCCCTTTTACCTTTTCAAAGACACATACAAGTATAGTACAGGGGAATTTGTAAGGGTGAATGAGAAACAACAACAAAACTTACAGACACTTCCTCAAGTGAAAAAAACCCTACCATGTTACAGGAAAGTGCTCATTTCACACCCATCTCAGTTGTTTAAACATTCTTACAGAAGGAGAAAGGGATAGGAGACAAGGAAATGGAACTCCTTCCCAATACATGAGAGTGCATTAGAGAGGAATGTCTATAAATGTAGCTTTTCAGTTACAATTTGAAGACAAATTACCTTAGAATGCTGTACTAAAGCCTGCAAGCAAAAGAGTTCCACTGTCTCTGAAGGGACTATACTCAATGTCTCACAATATGGAAGTCCATTTCCTCCAAAACACCACAAGCCTCCCTGAAATGAAAAACCATAAAAATAGTAACACATTTCAAATGGCTACATTAAAAAAAGGATTTCTAATCTAGAATGTTAAGTGCGTAATGATCTATAGAAATTGCTTTAAAGAGTGCACAGCATGCATGCACTTCTCAAAATGTACAGATTACACAACAGCACATCATAAAAGTATTTACTTTTTTAAACTGGAAATATTAACTACATTTTCAGTGTGGTCTCCTTAGTCTATTAACTTCAAAACATACAATAAAGGGGAAAAACGTATTATTTTCATTTTGTTAATGACTGTCATCTTTTAAGATCATTTGCTTAAGCATAAAAAAGCAAGAATCAGCGTAACTCCAGACTTGCAAAACTTAGAAGAGGAGGAAGAAAGGTCTTCAATATGTGGCACAGCCTCAGAAGACCAGTCTCTCCATCACGCAGCAGAAAGACCAACATAACCTCGATAAAAATCAAAATACTTCCAAGTGTGATGTCTTACCAAAGCTCCCTTTGTAGCACGAGCTCTGGCTGTGAAAACAGTAAAGGAGTGATAGTGTAAAAATAGCACACATAACTCTGTCATAGAAAATAAGGAGTTACTGCACTCTGGAAGCTCTAAACGAAGACTGACAAGCATTGTTATTAAAATGATATTCATTTTTGTTATTGCATCTTTTAAAAAATAAAAATCACTGATTAAGGAATTTACACAACAAAAAGTAAAATTAACAGAGAGAGTGGATGAAATTGACATAAATAACATTTTTAAACAATAATGGCACTTTAAATGACATTCCTAAAGCCACTTAGGAAGTTGCTGTACAGACACAGTTGGAGAATTCCTAGATCCAGGTCCCAACAGACCACAGACTACTGCAGTTCTGGTTTGGGGGACCTATTTCAAAGAGGCACTTCCAAGTGATGTAACAGAGTTTACTATTTAAGGTGTGCTAATAACCTACCATTTTACTAGAGATTTAAGGGAGGTTTAATAATCTCATCAGTAAAAGGACATTCAAACAACAGTAAGATGAAATGTGAAAAATCATTTTATGAGCACTATAAGGGGAAGGAATGTTTTGGACAGAGTGTTGAAATGTCTGCTTAATGGGAAGGCTTGTAAGATATAATCCTTAACTACACCTTTCAACTAGCACAGCTGGGAAATATAAACAAGCTTTCAAGTAGAGAGACTGTATTTAGAAGAGATTTTGCTCATGTTCTACATTCACAAAGTGTCTGTACTTCTCTTCCTTTTACAATGATAAAAAATACAGAAAAATATTTATATCTTCGAGCTCTGCAGGCACACAGAACCCAAACAGTTCTGTTCTGCAGATGGGAACTCACCATTTGTGCAGCCAGAGTCTGGCTACTTTCCCGTAACGCAAGGGATGTGAAGTACTGGACACATGGATCCAGACCAGTCTGAGGTAAAGACACCAACAACAAACGAAGTTCATCTTCTATGGGATCGTCCTGTGAGAAGTAAGCATGAACAGCTTTTAGGTTATTTTGTTCAAAGCATGAAGCAAAATGCAGAAGAGAGGAATATCTGAAATAATGGAATCAGCCATACTAATGAGGCCGTAAAATCTGAACCTTGGACTTAAGTGCTCTGCAACTTCAGTTTAGTAGTTTTATCTGTAAAGACTTTAGAAACTGATAATTACAAAATCACCAAATAAATGATAAAAAGCAAGCTTTACATTTCATATTTTGGTGATATTATCCTGATGGTTCCAAAGACAAGAACAAAAACCGATTCCTCTTGGCAGAGGAATCTTACAAGTTCATCCTTAACTAATAGAAATTTTCATAGAATCATAAAATACTCAGAGTTGCAAGTGACCCACAAGGATCACAGAAGTCCAGCTCCTGGTCCTGCACAAGACCACCCCAAGAATCACACCATGTGCCTGAGAGCATTGTCCAAAACTGCTTGAGTTCTGTCAGGCTTGGGGCCATGACCACTTCCCTGGGGAGCCTGTTCCACTGCTCAACCACCCTCTGGGTGAAAAACTTATCCTGATATCCAACCTAAAGCTCCTCTGACAGAGCTTTAGGCCATTCCCTCAGCTCCTGTCACTGGTCACCGGAGTGAAGAGATCAGTGTCTGCCTCTCAGCTTCCCCTCACAAGGAAGTTGTGACTGCAGTGGTCTCTCCTCAGTCTCCTCCAGGCTGAACAGGCAAGTGACCTCAGCCACTCCTCATGTGGCCTCCTCCAGGCCATCCACCATCTTTGCTGTCCTCCTTTGGACACTCTCTAATAGTCTAATATCTGTTTTATACTGCAGTGCCCAAAACTGCACACAGTGCTCAAGGGGAGGCCACACCGGTGCAGAGCAGAGTGGCACAATCACCCTCCTCATCCACCAACTTGTGATGCTGTACTTTTGGTAGTGCAACATTAAAATTAGTGTATAAATTATTAGTAAAAAATGAAGACATTTCTTTTAAAGTTTGGTCTGAAAAATTAATATAAGTATCAGTATAACAATCCATATATTGATAGATGCCACAAAGTAATTTCATTTGCTCACCATCATTGAACTTGCCGTTACTCTAATTCTTTGATAAAGTCAGAGATGGAGACTTATTTGCGTAGAGCTGCCACAATGATTTGCTTCAACTTCCTGAGCAGCAGATTGGCAACTCTTAACTTCAATCACCTAGCAATCACATTGCTGTAAAAATGTATCCACAACCATATACTGGTGTAACCGAGTATTTAAGGACTAGCAGGTAGAGATCCACTATCACATAATGTTACGAAGGCAAGAAAGCAAAAACTGAGACTATCACACCCAATCAAAGCTGATATTCAGAGTTCTGTTGGTTAAGATACACAGGTATTTTCTGACAGGGCTTTCTGCCCCTCTTCATTCTATTAGCATTCCAAAACACCTTGTATATTATACTTCATATGCCAGCTCTGTTTATTGAAGAAGCTGATGACATGACTCCTCAGACCATCATATATATAACATATACATACATTTCAAATGCGTTAAGCTAATTTTTAACTTAAAAATAAAGCAAGGCCAAATGTATCCAATAAGGATCTGCTGGCACCCAAAAGCTGGCAGTGAAGAGGTGGGCCTTCAGTAGAGCACTAAGTACTACTGAAGAGGCAAAGGCCTCCAGGAGCATACTCTGCTCCTGTGTAGGATTCTGTCAGTGTCAACAAGGCAATCCAGGAGGATTTCTTCACATTGCCTACTGGATAGAGACAAGCAGTGTGTCTGTCAGACTGGTAAGTGGCTCAGACTTCACTGCTTGTAAATATATCACATGGATAACAGTCTAAGAGTAATAACTGATCAATACTTCCAACCTTATTTCTTTCCATCATGGCACTCCCTAATGCAGATATACCCCAAGGGTGTATCACATATTACAGTTTTCTATTTTGGTATTTTACTACTAGTCAGTTACTTTAGATGAACTTCACTTTCAACAACAGTAGTAAAAAAGAAGTAAGCAACTAAGAATCATCTAATACCCACTTTTCTTTTACTTACAGTTTTTATTTTTGGCAATGGTGGTGGAGGCAGGAAAAAGCGCAGGTCAACATCTTTGGATCGAGCCAAACCTATAGCAGTCCTTTGATCACAGGTTTGAGCAACTGTGACATACTGATAATCTGTTGTACAAGAATGTTAGAGTTAAAACTAACCTTAGATACTTAATTTTGTTTTAAATGTAGTTTGTGATCTACTTTGCAAATATACTTGAAAAGAAGAACTATCTCTCTGCAGTTCACTTACAAAAATCTTCTGATTTTCTAACCATAAATTCCAGAATTTAAAAAGTGCAGATGTTAGACCAGCACTACACTGAGCTGAAATCCACTTGGGCACTAACTGTTCATTAAAGGACAGTTTGATAATTCAGTGGCAAACTGAAGGAAAAGAAAATAAAACCTTGAAGTGGATCAACACTTTTTTCTACAAAAATTTCCTTCTATTCCTGTTACTATTATACAATTCTAGAACAAAACTGACAAGCCATTTAAAAGATACTTTTCACAGTCATAGATTGGCAACACTTTTCCTTTGGTGGAGGTAATTTATACCTGCAAACTGAACTCACTGGAGCCTAACACTTTGTCCTAGTTGTGAAAAATCAGCACATACTTTCAGCCCTAAACTTTCTTTGACTTGGTTTTGAAGCATCAGGTTAAAAAAAGCTTGTTTCCTTCATGAGGCAGTTGGCAAGAATAATTAGTGTTTGTGAAATGTCCAAATACTTCAACAGTGAGCACTACAGAGAAAGGGAGATAACAAAAGGCACTAAATTTCTGATACTGGACATCTTGTGCTCTGAAATCACCTGCTAAGAGTATTCATCTACAAAGAACAAAACTCAGTTTTTGTATATCCTAGCTTTGAAACATTTTCAAACACAGTTTGCTGGTGTAAATTCCCTGTGGAAATTATTTAGAATTTTAAAAAGGCGATTTGAAACAAGATAAATCCCATGGTGTGGAATTGCACTGGAAAAGGGAAAGTGTTGCGATGTGTCTTAAGCTTCCGGGTTCCTTCCCCAGGTGTGCCTATACCTCTCTCCCTTCCCCCTTGCCCCCATGCTGAGTGAGTCCTGTCAATCAGGCTTAACATTCCAGCAAGGCGTGGTGTGGTTGGTCAAGTTCAAAGGATGCCCCTATGCCCAGGGGTCGTTGGCCTGCCTAGGTGTCCCTCGTCCCTTGAGACCCTGCCCCTCTCACCTGGTTGGGTGGCTCACCTGTCCCCTCCCCTCCCCCTGCCCCGGGAGCTTAAAAAGGTAATGAGGCCATGCGGTAATGATTCTGTTGGAGCAGTTGCCTACGTTCAGACCTCTGTAACCTTGGAATAAACCTCTGGACATTAAACCCTCCAGCAGAATCCTCTCCTTTTTCTCTTCACCATCGCCTGAAGCTTTCATCCTGAGGAAAACGAGTTCCTGACAAGCCTGGACTTGTTCAGTGCCCAGCTGCAATCTCCAGCAGCCAAGGTATCTCTGGGGTGATTTACACCACAGTTGCTGCCTTTGGCCCAGCAGCGAGGATCAGACTGGCCCAGGCACCATCTAACTGCTAATATTGGGATTCATATTTCAATAGGAAAGATCCACAACTGACTAAATGACTGAAACAAGAGTCCAGAATGGAATGTCACCTAGTTTATATAGCCTGGTGGTGGAGGGGAAAGGAGGAAACACAAATACACATACACACACCTCCCCTTTACCTGGGGTTTCAAGGATATTTGCTGCTAGAGCAAGAAGGAGAACTTATTACTATTAAATAATAACTAGGGCAAAAAATGTCTCATAGATAATGCTTGCATGTAGCAGCCCTCTACCTCTGGTTTGTCATTACTTCCTATCAGCTCCTAACCAATTTTTATTAACTTAACCAATGACCTTAAACTAATTCTTACATAGGCTTATAAAAAAAACCACTGCCAAAACTTGTGACTGCATTAGCAATCCCAACAGAAAACCCAAGGAACTAAAGAGCATGAACTGCTCTCCATGCCACAGCAATGGTTACAATCCTGTGGTGGGGAAACAGAGATGCCTGCACTGCAGACACTCAGTGTATCAGGGTATTAGGAAAGAACAGCTACTTGATATGTAAATAATTCCCCCACATTTTAGACAAATTTCAGAGCATATTTATGCTTCTTGCAGCTACTAGCTTTTCTTCATGTTGTCAGCAGGCTTGGAACAGCTAACTGAGACTGTGTGGAACTTTTGGGACAAATTAGGCTACATCAGCATACATTACCATGCCAGTGACTGTTGCTTGCCAGGTCTTGTACAGCCTGCAGTCGGGTTGCTTTGTCTTCTGACTGAGTTCTCTTTAAGAGAAGCCATAAGGCACACTCATGATCTTCTCCATCAAAGGTACTGAATTGTTCTTTGACCAGGAAACAAATGAAATCCAAGTTATTATTAATGAGCATTTTAAGCAGACACATTTCCATTAGTGGAGTATGGAAATATGTAGTTTTTAAATATTTGAGTATTACTTGTTCCCAGTAATTAAGAGTGTAAATTAGTACACATTAAATTAGTGCAATGAACAAGGACAGAATGACATCAGTAAAATGCTGATCCTAAAATGTTGAGATTGTCTCATTTTAGTGGCACCAAGTTGGTATTTCATGTATCTACATGACAGACAACCCCTGGCTGGCACTTACCAACCAGAGTTACCAGTAGGAACTGCAAATTATTAGCAACTCTTGAGGCTCTGACCTTGAAGAATTAATTTCATAAGATGACAGTGGAGATGCACATTGCTATAATCATTTAACAGAGAGTTAAATGAGAATAGACAGTATGCCTCAGGAGCAGAGTTTCTGATAGGAATGGAAATTCTTGTTTCAAATTACTTGAAAAAGCAGTAACACTGATCCAAAAAACTGTGCTGCTTTCAGTTAATACTGTCAATTTTGATGAAAGCATACATACTTTTCTAGAATGAGATTTTGGGAGTATTTCATCCCACAAACACCTTTTTTACACAAAAATGATATCAAATAAAAAAAAAACGACTTGGTATCTTAAATTTTAAATCACTTCTGGAACAAGGAAAAAAACAACCCTCAAATATCCTCATAGCCATCACTTTCACTTACTTTAAGAAAATAAATTATTCTAATACACAGAAAATAGACAACTGACTGAAAATACATATAAATATAGAAATTGTAAGCTATATTATCACAATTTCAAGGACCAAAGAACATGTTAACTTTGTAAGAAAAAAATGTTTTACTTCCTAATTGCCCTACTTCTTACTGTAAAAAAATAATAACCATAGATAAAGTCCTACTTTCAATACCTACCACTAAAAGATGTCCGGAAGATTTTAGCTTCTTTTTCTAGAATTCTCCTCACTGCTTTATGGATTTCTTTTCTGGCTCTGTATGTAATTCCTACAAGAGTATTGTTATATTACTGGAAGTCTAAAAGACAGTTCCCTCACCTCACATTTTGTAAATATATGGAAAAAGAAATATACACACATATACATATAGACATTGTATAAAGAGAATTATTTGATATATAGAGAACTATGTATAGAAAGAACCATCTTAAAAAAAACCAAACCAGTCAGCAGCTTAAAATAAATTTGGTGGCATTTCTTGGTAACAGATTTCAGGAAACAGAACTTTACTTGTTATATAAGGGTGACCTCCAGAAACATTCTACTCTCTTAGAATTCTGTTTTTGGAACTCAAACAATTGTGCATCTTACCTTGATATTCACTCGGGCTTAGAGAAGCTGTACGTACATATATATAGGATTTCAGTTTTTCTTGATGTAGAGCTTGAGTATCGATTTTCAGTAACTTATTTAAGGACAGGACTTGATAGGTAATGAAAACAAAGCCTCTTTAAAGAAAAAAAAACTGCATATGAATATCAACTAAAACAACATAATAAAAAAATTAGCAATCACACTGGCATAAACGATAGAGATTTTACCATTTATCTTGATTTAGCAAAGTGGAGAAAAGGCTACAAATACTTGAAATTAGTTATAACTATCAGAAATTGTGCTTCAAGACTATATTCTACCATGTCTAATGTCCCCTAATACTGTCACATTTTTTGAAAGATATACATATTAAAATTTAACCATATCTTTAAGTTACATATATGTTCATTGGTTACAACTTACCCTAGTATAAGTGATCCAGTTACTTTTGCAACTTTTCCTTGAAAAAATCAAAACCAAACGTCAAACAAAGTTGTGTGAATCACCTCAATATATGCAGAGTTACCATTTGATTATCAGACAGTAAGAATACAAAATCATTAAGAACAAGCTTTAAAAAAATTCTATTGCTCTCTCTCTTTCAAGAAATTATTAACCAAAATTTACAACTGGAGAAAACATTACTCGATTCAGATTTCCTGCTCTCCTAAGCAAGATGATAAAACATGTCTCCTGCCAGAGCCATTTACTTTGAATATTGCTACCTCTCAATTGCATGCACTGCTCAGCTATCAGAAACAACAGTGAACTTTCTCTGCCTGTAACACTAGCAGTGATGTGGAAGTCAAAATTGTTTTAAGGAGTTAACGTTTTCCTACATGTTGCAGCTATTTCTTCAGTGTATATTGCAGCTATTTCTTCAGTGTATATTATTACACACAGGACTATGTATGTTTTTGAGAAGTCCTGCAGCGTCTCCATAAGTAAATACATTTAAAATAATAATTCAATTGAATCTAATCTATAAAGCAAACAGATAATACATGCTGTTTGCAACAATTTGCCTTTTAAATAAAATTATTCCTTCCAGATTTCAGCTACTTTGTATCTACAAAGTCCATCTGATTATCTGGACCTAAGGATCTCTATCCAGAGAAACTCTTATCATTACCAGCAGCAGCAAACCCACTGTAACACATCTCACCTATCATGAATAATTTCTTTTCCTCAGCATGAATTGGGAGACTTGCCCCACAACCACTGCTATCAGCTTCCATCTTTGTGAGGCCATAAGAATTTTGCATGCAGACAAGAGGCATCAGCTACATGTTGAAGAAATAACTGGCAGAGAAGTTTGAAAAAGAAAAAAAATGCAATGCTTCCTGTAGAACAGAAATTGCAATATCCTATCTTTAATGCTCAGAAATAAATTTCAGAACTGTAAGAATTGTTATTATATGCTGAAGACACCAAAGAAAACGGAGAATAAGCAGAGCTTGAAGTAAATAAGAAAAAAGAAATAATATAAACAAGTTTTATTCACTGTTTATGAATGTAACTATTTCATGGCTCTAGAGACTACAAAAAAAATCAGATACAAGTGGAATTGAAGATAGTTTAAGGAGATCACATTTAGTGAGGGAAAGACCCTCATCTAGCGTTCATATCTGCTCCCAGATAATCTGCCGGTGTCATATTACACATCACCATGCAAAGCAAGGTCAGAAGCAGAGAGCAGGAACAAACAGAAGCTTTTAATCACTAAGCATTCAAGGGCTTAAAACTTCAGTATTGTTTAATTAAGCATGGTGTCACGTCATTCCTTTGTATTAACACTTCAGATCAATACATAATGAACTCTACTTACTGATGTCATACCAGGGTAGGTGTTTTTTTGTGGTTGGACCAGAAGTTCCTATTTTTCTGTAGCAAAATACACAGTAAGCAGCCACTGACATTCTGCATATTGAGGGGGAAAGAAAAAAAAGTAATGATTGATTTGAGAATTACAGCAGAAATCCTGTAGCATTTTTTCCCTGACTTTTTACAGCAAAGGTCATGATGGGAAAGGTCATAATAAACCATGTTTGTGTCATTTCACTCCATATAAAGCACTCTGGCTAAAGAACTCAATAAATTTCTCAAATTATGGGCTGAATAATGGGCTGAGTTTCAATTATAAGAAAAGTTTAAAGCAGCTTTTTTATCAATTATGTTACTGTTCATTTTAGTGACTTAGTATCTCCAATTAACTTCTCTGCTTCTATGTTTCCTTTCCTACTTAGTCACTCTTCCCTAAATACCAGATATGGTCCTGTCTCCATCAAGACATTATTCAGTATGACATGAGCTTTAATACAACTTAGCAACCAAGCCCTTTTAAAAGTTCATTATTTATTGTGTTGGCAAGTTTTACTTTGACTAACAAGAATTAATGAGCTACTACATTAAAACTAACACTTTTTGCATACAGTGCAGAAGTAACATGAAACTCCTATCTTCTAAGTGAAATTTTAGTGTCTGCATTGGTGCAATTATACTAACTGAAATATTGAGTTAATGTGTTTATAGGGATGTAAAAACACACCAGTATCTCTCAAATATGAATCAAATTCTTGTCAAATAAGCTCAATTTGACACAATCACAACCCAAAATGATAAAATGTCACATGTATAAACCTGATGCTGAAATATGGAAGCCTAATTAAATTCAATTACCTCCTTGAATTTAAGGTAATCTCTGCAGACCACGAAAAGTGTTTATATCACTTTTATCCTCAGTGTCCAACATCTGGACAAGGGAACTCTTTTTGTGTCCTTCCTTTAACATGTCTTCCCTCTTCTCTTATTTCCCCAAAAGTTTTGATTTTTCCCTTCTCTCCTCCTTGTGTTTGGGAGATTTTTGAAAAACAAAAGCATTACCCCAGCATTGTCAAAATCACTGCAGACTGCTTTTTGACTTGTCATTTCAACATTGTTTATCCTTTCACTTCAACAGAGTACAACACACTATGAAACACTTTTAAGACTTTGACCATCAGTCCTCTAGAGACACCTCTCCTGCCTCCAAATTCCTTGTCTCATGACAGCTCCTTTACTCCCAGAATTACAGTACTCACATGTCACAGACATATTTTATGAAAAAAAATATTTTCAGGATCTTTTCTCCTAAGAAGCTCAGAAGCTTCAGCTTCTCCATGTTTTGCTGCTTTGGAATGTGATTTGGAGAATTGTTTACCCAGCATGTGAAACTGTTTTTACTTGATGACCAATGACAGCCACCTGTGTCAAGGCTGTGAGCAGTCACAAGATTTTATTATCATTCCATTACTTTCTAGCCTTCTGATGAAATCCTTTCTTCTATTCTTTTAGTATAGTTTTAATGTATCATTTTCTTTTAATATATCATAAAATAATAAATCAGCCTTCTGAAACATGGAGTTGAGATTCTCGTCTCTTCCCTCATCCTGGGACCACCACACTCACATTTCCTCTTCTCTCCAACCACAGCCTGAAATAAACATGTGGTTCAGTGGCAGCAGGTGCCACAATTGCTAAGATTTCAAACATGCACTGCAAACACAGGAGGACACAGTGAGCACGGCTGCTCTGCTGCCAGGAGCTCCTGTTCAGGTCCGGGAGCAAGCACCGAATTATCAAATGTGAAGGGTCTGGAATGGACCTTAAGGATCACCTAATCCCAACACCCCTGCCATGGGCAGGGGAACCTCGCACCAGACCATGCTGCTCACGGCCTTATCCTGCCTGGCCTTGAACACTTCCAAGGTTGGGGCATCCACAACCTTCCTGAGAAATCTGTTCCAGTGTCTCACCACCCACACAGCCAAGGATTTCTTTCATAATATCTAATCTAAATGTCTCCCCTTTTCGTTTGCACCCATTACTCCCTGGCCTACACCACAGTTCCTGATTAAGTGTGGGACTTCCATCAGTCTCTGACCTCCCTGGAGGACCCCTCAGACACTGCAAGGTTGCCGTGGGGTCTCCATGCAATCTCCTCTTCCCTAGGCTGAGCTGCCCCACCTTCCTCGCTCTGCTTTCACAGGGACGTGCTCTAGCCCTCCCAGCGACTCCGTGGCCCTTCTCTAGGCTTGCTCTAGCAGCTCCGTGTCCTGCCGATGCGGGGGAGCCCCGGCGCAGTCCCGCCAGAGCGGAGAGGGGGCAGCATCGCCGCCCCGCCTCAGCCGGCTGCTCTGGGGGCTGCGAGCGCGCACTGCCGCCTCTCGCCGGGCTGTTCACGCTCAGGCACATACAAATAGAACGCAAAAGGAGCCATTTCGCACCGTTTCACAGCCGGCCCAGGCAGCTCCGAGCCCCGTCCCGCACCGGGCTGCGGTCTCCACCCACCCGCCCGTGACTGCGCATCTGGGGCGTGTTAAAAAAAAAGACAAAAACACCACCGCAAACCTAACTTTAGGCAATGCAACACGTAAACGGGCAAGGAGCCAGGCAGGGGTGGCTCTGTGCCTCTTTCCAACGGGGAGGAACAGCACACCCACAGTTACCCTGAGCCCCGGCCCGCCTGCCCAGCGCCGCCCGCCATCCCAGCGCCCCCCGCCCGGGCCGCAGCTCGCACCTTCCGCCTGCGCCGCCGCTCCCTGCGGCGGGCCCCGCGCGCCGCGTGACGCCATCGCGCCGCCGGCAGCCCCGGCCAATCCGCGGGCACTGCCGGGGGCCCTGCGCGCCTGCGCATGCGCGGCGAGGCACTTCCACCGGCAGGGAAGCGGCACGGAAGGAGGGCGGGTGTGAGGGAGCGGATCCTGGGAAGCTCTTTGTGTGCGGTGGAGGTGAGGGAGCGGGTCCCGGGAAACTGTCTGTGTGTGGCGGAGGTGAGGGAGCGGGTCCCGGGAAACTGTCTGTGTGCGGCGGAGGTGAGGGAGCGGGTCCCGGGGCAGCCCTGTATGTGCGGCGGACCGGAGCCCCCGGGGACCTCTGCCCAAGGCGGGCAGGATGTACCAGCAGCTCCTCTGGGGGGTAGCGTTGTCGTAAGGAGTCTTTGAGTTTAACCGAGGCGTTGTTTGTTTGGATTTATGTGTTTGGGGGGTGTTGCGCTTTCAGGTTTCGTGTGGTCCAGTGCTGTTATAGGTGATAATATAACACTGACTTTCGCGTTTATAGATTAGTTTTTTGCATCACAGGTAGTTTGATACGGTACAATTTATACTTAGTTTAACTGCTTTTGTATACTATAACCTGTCAGTTTGTGTTTGCACTGTATAGTTCATATGAATATGAATAGTGTGATAAATATGCTATATCGTAAGCTTTAGCAAACTGTTAAAATAGAGACTAAAATCCTTCTATGTAGATAACTCAGAGAATGGTGTAAAGCAATTATGTTGTGTCTTACATTTGTGGACTGGCTTCTGCAAGTGATGACAGTGACAGAAAACAGAGCATAACAATCTGGGGAGGATTTATCGATTCTTTGCTATCAGAAGTGTGAAACAACAGGATAGAACTACAGGAAGAAATAAAATATATGGGTCTAATCTGCAGAATGTCCTGCAAGTCAAGTCAAAGGTTAAAACCAAGCATGAGAAACATCAAAATCTCAAAGGAACATTTGACTAATGTATAAAGTAATGGATATGCATGTAACCCCAGCAATGTGACCATATATTGAGAACTTGATTTTAGGCTACCTCTGTGCTCTTTGGCCGTTTGCCAAAAGCACCCCAGCACTGGAAATTTGTCCTCTTTTATCCTTTATTAAACATCTGAAAATTCTAAAGAATGAACTCTGTTTTCACAGTGTGATCCAGAGCAGGGGCTGCTCTTGCCAACTCTTCAGCGTTCGTGAGGGAGCCGGGAAAATGGTGAATGTTCTGAAAGGTGTTCTGGTTGAGTGGTGAGTAACAGCCTTTCCTGCCTCTCCTTGTGTCAAAGACTCTGTGTCTTTAGACCTGGAAGTAACTGAAGAGCCCAGACAAAAGGAATTATTGTGGGAAGGGTGGTACTGAACAAGCAGAGAAAAGTGCAGCCTTTGGGGGAAGAAGGAGAAGGCAATTGTAGAAAATCTTAATGCCAAACTCCCATTTTTCTATTCAAGCAACTGTTTTCCACTTATGTCTAACCTCTTTAAGAAAAGAAAACTGCATATGAATATGGGGTAAAAAATAGGATGGTGAAGAAGTTAGCAATCACATTCTTATAAAAATCCAGGTTTTTTCAAAATATATAACGGTCTGCAGATTATTATAATTAAGTATAGTAGAGAAAAGGATGTAAAATACTTAAAATGAGCTTAAACTATGAGAAATTATGCTTCAAAGCTGTATTCTACCATGTCTCGTGGTCCCCTAATATTCTCCCCCTAACATTTTCTGAAAGGTACACCAGTTAAAATTTTAGCTATGTATGTTAGTTATCTATAGGCTTGACAGGTATGACTTATCCTAGTACAAGTGATCCAGTTATCCTGGCAATTTTTCCTTGAAAATGTTAGATGCTGTCTCTTGTTCTTGGTATTGCTTGCAAACAGAGTTTCTTGCTGTTGTTGTTTATGAACAAAGTATTTCTCTACTGATTCTTGAGGGAGGCAAGGTAATCTTTCATTTCTCCTTTCCTGTTTTGTTTTTTTTAATCAGCTCTAGATTGAATTCAATGCAAGGCAAACATTTGTTTGTAGATCATATTCCAAAGGAATGTGCTTGGAGCTGGTAAATGTCAGCTTTTGGTGTAGGTGCAATGTACCTGTTTTCATATAATCTCACTTCTGGACTCAGACTCGGGCCCCTGGCTACCTCCAAAATTAAAGGAAGCATCACTCAAGATTTGTGGGGTTGTTCAATAGCATTATATGATGTGTACACTTGATCTCTTAATATGTTTGCAATCTATATCTGCACAAAAGCAGTCCCATACTTCCAAAATGTTTTCTTCCAAACATTTAAATTTTTGTTTAGAAGGTGACATTGTGACTGTTCAGTTAGAGTGTGAGAAATGTATAATTCTTATGTGAGCATTCTTTGTCTGTGCTCTACTCCTTGTGTGAGATCTGTGTTCTCCTCTCTTCTGGTTATCCTTATGCTTTAAGGAAACGTTTTTATGAGGCTATTGCTGAAATCAGAAATATAAGTTCAGTCTTGCCTTATTAAGGGTTGGACTTTTGAGTTTTAGTTTTGGTTTGAGTGTTTTTGAATTTTTTGAAGCTGCCTTAGCAGCAGCAAACAAAATCATCTCTGTTAATAAAGCAGAGATTGGTTCTACTCATTAGACTTTATTACCATTTTATTTTTGTCTCTATAGTAACCAAAACTACTTGGAAAGAGACGACTTTTACTAAACAAACTGTATTTAAGCTGTGAAAATTATTTCCACTTTTTCAAAACCCTTTGGGAATATCTTTGAATGGGGTTTCTTCTGTTTGCAGCTGTACCTGTGAGTTGGGGTCTGATGTGTGTTTGTCTCTACAGTGACCCTGCAATGAAGCAGTTTCTGCTCTACTTGGATGAGTCAAATGCTTTGGGAAAGAAGTTCATCATACAAGACCTGGATGAAACTCATGTCTTTGTGTTAGCTGAGTTGGTCAACTTCCTCCAGGAGAGAGTGGGCGAGCTAATGGACCAGAACTCGTTTCCTATTACTCAGAAGTGAGAAAAACCAGAGAAATGAGATTACTGCAAGTTTTGAAACAGTGAATTTCAATAGTTTGAGTTGTTCCTGTTTTAATAGATAACACTGTGGCATGTAAGTTCTACGTAGAAGTGGTTACTATAGAAAATGCATCATTTTCATAGACAAAATAGTCTGGAATTGGATTTTGTTTCTCATTTTGAAAGAATGTGGTATCTTTATTAAAAGACTTAAAATTATACACTTGAGGAGTTCCCTTGAGAATTTTTGATGCATGCTCTGATTTTCATTTAGGTTTTTGTCTTGCAAGATGATCTGACCCAAAAAGTAGAGTAGTTTTTGTGTGTTGGAATGCTCTGTGAGGCCTGCTGACCTGTCGTGTTCCTGTGTGTGACTGAATCTGATTACAGCGTGACTGGTAGAAAGTAAAGAATGTCTGTTGGATCTGTGCTTGATGGGACATCTCTAAACTGGAGCCATGGCCAGGTACTGCTCTAACTTGGTTTTATACAGCAGGATGAGAGTTGGTCTGAGTGCTTTGTTGTGTTGTTTGGGGTTGGGAGTGTTGGGGTTTTTTTGTTAGAACATGTTACAAATGTAAAAACCATGATGCCCCATCCGCCTTGCCAGCTTTTACCAAGGCTGTGCTGTCTGAGTTGTTCTGAGTTTGGGGAGAAGTGGAAGGGGTTTGGAGGGGAAGGAGGGATATGGGGTGATTGGGACAACAAAATCTATTGCCCTAGATCATCATAAATTAAAGGGGTAACAGAAATGGGAGACCAGTCCTATAGATATGATTGTATTTTTTCACTGAAGCTGATAGTCACAGTAATTTATGTGATCAGACTCCCATGCTGTACCTAACAAACAAGAAAGCTGGGTTTGGATTTTTGGGTATGATTTTGGGGTTTCTTTTAGCTTAGTTCTTTTTCCCATATTACCTTTTGCTGTAAAGAAAAAAAGCTTTGGAGTGTCATGGTTTCGTTGTTTGGGGTTTTTTTACACTGTATTTGTAATGTTAGCTCAGACAGTGGCTTGGTTTTGAGACCTGCTCATGTACATTAGATAGATGGCACCTTTTTGTCTTTGAAAAAAAGAACAAGAGTAAAGAGAAAGGCTTTTATAAGGAACAGTTTTCCTTACTGACACTCCCACTACTGCTTGTTTTCTCATGTCCAGTAGATATCAAATTAATTGGTAGGTTTGTCCTTGTTTTTTGTTCAGATTGGTTTTTGGTTTGCATTTTTTTCCTCAGGAAGAAGGAATCTTCATGAGAAAGTTTCACTAGATGTTTTTAATCAAAAAGCTGTCCAAAGAAAGTTCTGTAGAATTGTGTATGTTCAGGCTCATGTGGATGAGCAAATAGCCCTGTAAAATATAACTTAATGACATTTCTGGTACTTTCCCTTTTCTCTGACTGTATAGAACAATGACTTTGGGTCCAAATTCTTTCACAAGTGGGTCCTTCCCCAGTCATGTAGATTAAGAACCAGCTACATGTCTTTACCTGAAATAAGAAGTTTAAATCTTATTTATAAATGGTTTATGGTTTCTTACCTTATTTCTTGAGATTTATCTCAAGAGACAGATCAAACATTGACCTCATAATTGTTATTTTTTGGAATATTATTGGGTGCTCATTTAATGGAGAAATAATCAGTAGTTTTACATGTCATTATAGCTTAGTACAATTTATTTAGAAGTGTCTGTTTCCTTTTTTTGGAATCCTAGTTTGTTTTCCATCCTGATTCTGCTGAAAGGTAAATCATCCATCACTCTCTTCAAATGACAGCACTTGAAAAGTCAGGTTTGGAATTCCACGTGTTAAGCTTCTCTGTATTTCACATGTCTAGTGCTCCATTTCTATTGTGACTTTCCTTTTCAGTCTGTAATAAACGTCTTGCAGTTCTTGTCTTTTTCTCTTGGTGAACTGTACAGCTTTGCTGCTGTATTCCCTGTATTTTAGCTTATATTTACAATTGATAAATGGCTTGTGCAATACAGGGGGATAGAAGTTCCAAACTGTATAAACTAAACTGTTGGGCATGCATTCTTGTACTCTCTGCTCACAATTTGGGTTTTTTGAGCAAACAAGTTAATGGACTTTTAACTTCTAAACCTGTCAATACTTTTGATCCTTCCTGTACCTAAACAAGGCATAAGCAATTCTGTGCTGGAAGAATAAACAAAAGATGTAAAGATGTAAGTTGGTATCATCATATGTAGTCTAAGGAGCTGAGTTCACTGTAGTTCCTAGAGAAAAAAGAATCTTGAATCAGGTGCTATGGTGAAGGAAATCCAATGAGGAAACTTTTAGAAATTTAGTATGTGTATGATTTTAAAAAGCAAATAAACAAAAAACCCAAGCAAGGATTTTTGTGATTTGAATAAACTTGGACCTCTGAAAGGTTTTGATTGTTTTTACATGCATGTAGTCCTAGAACTTTCATGCTTCAACAACAACAAAAATATTTGCCCTAATGGGAGAAGAGTAGACACTAATGTTAAAAATATTTATACATTTTGAGATAATCAGTATTTACACTTACAGATTTTAAATGTTTGTGCTTTCATTCAAGTGCGAAATATTACTGGTGAGTACAGCTTGGAATGAAACACTGTGTTAAAGATACATTTTTTTTAAGGTCTGGAAACATTTGAGAATAAAAGCTGTAGGAGATCTGTTTAAATATATCCATGCTTTGATGAAAGAGTTGATAGGGTGAGAAAGTCAGCTCTCACTGTATTTGGAATATTGTATGTTAATTTAATGTTTGTATCCATAACTAGTATGTTCACTTCTTTACTAGTGTCTATCAAAGAATTAGTGTTCTCAGGTCCTGCTTGAGCAGCAAAACTAAAGTTTGAGTGAGAGACTTGTTGCTGCTTGTAAAGCACCAAATTTTATCTTGAAGGGCTTTCACTACTCACTTTTATCTCTCAGTTTGAGTTGAAAGTATTTTGTGTACTGGAAGAAGAGCATGGTAGTACAATTACATAAAAGACACTTACTTGAACTTCCTTTATTACTTGCTACTTATTTATACTTGAATCTAAATAAGATTGCATGTTCACTTGTTAGCATTTTGTGATGTAAACAGTTGTTCCTGTGTAGTTACTGTAACTTGAACATGCTCATAAATTCTTTTGTTAACACATGCAGAAGCTAAAGAGTTGTATTTGACAGAAGGATGAGACAGATCTCTAAAGCAAGGTAAGAGAATTTGAACAACTCAAACAACATGTTATGTGGGAAGAGTGGGATGGAAACTGGAAGTGCAGCTTCCTAGTGAAATAAAGCAATAACATTTCATTTTTATTGAAGATTGTACTGTTGGGCATTTTGGGTTTTTTTTGTTTGAAACCTCAGATTTTTTTAAAAAAATTGTTTATTAATGACCTTCAAACAAAGTTGTGTAAAAAGCAAATAAGTCTAAATGCTGTCACATATTTAGTCTTATAAATTGTGGGATAAGCTAATTCTGGAGAGGAGGTTGTTTTAGCAGAGGGGTTGGCAGCACAATGAGTATGACCCTGGTTGGTCAGTATAGATAGGGGTTGTAATGACTTGGTGCACTTGTGACCAATGCCTGAGTCCCTCTTCCTTCTCTCTGGTACGACAGCTAGCCCAGGAAGAATAATTGTCCAGTAGAGTAAAGGAGGAAATGACCAACAATCACTAGAGAGAATGGATGTGTCCTCAAGAAAGAAAATAGAGAATGCTTTAGGAAATTCTACCATTTTACCAGAGAATGGATTTGATTCTGTAGCTAAACTGCCTGTGTTTCACCAAATAAAGCAGGCATCTGAATCCATTTGAATAATAGTGGGTTTGTTTATTTGTTTAATGAACTTATAATGATAATTGGAGGACTTGGTGGGGGGGGTTATTTCAGATTTTTGGCTTTTGGTACTTAGTGATGAGAGCTAGATGCTGTCTGATGTGCTGTTCTAAACCTTCTCCAAGTGCTGTTATACATTAAGAAATCCTGCTTTACAGTCTTTCCAGGTTTATAGGGTGCATTCAAAAGCATATCCTCTGATTCTCTCTTTTTTTTTCCTAATGTGCCATAACAACAGATTTTACAGTTTTTTTTCTCACTCAGCTCTGCAGGGCCACCTCATGTGTGTGAGAACAACTCAGAGAATGTGTATTTTATGCATTAACAGGATTGTTTACTGTGAGCTGAAGTAAACAAGATTGTTTGCTATGAATGAAAGAGAATGGTATTTCATGATGTCATTAAAATTACTTATATTTAACCTTTCTTAGTTGGCATCTTCACCATAAAAGTTCAGTCAGCCCCTAGGCTGAATTTACAAATACAGGGCACTAAAAATCATACATGAATGGGTATACATACATATCTATATCTATATATGTATTTCAAGCACTCTTTAATAATATAAACCAGCACAGTCTGAGAGGTATGTTTTGCTCTTAAATTCAAACAATAGGCCATTGAAGAAAGCAGTAAGCTTTCATAATAGATTTTTTTTGTAGTTCCAAATTTCCACGCTGACTCCTTGACTATCCCACAAATGATCCCATTGAAGCTGGTGGTGGTTACTGTGAAATGAGTGCATTACTCAGTACGTTAGAATTGGATGTTTGTTCTGTAATTTAGGCTGTAGCAAGGCCTGTATGTGCTGTACAAAATCAAGGATTCAAAATAAGGTTCACAGTGATGGAAGAACAATTTCTTCCTACACTAAGTCATTATCTATGGGTTTATGACCTAGCAGCTAATCAGAAATGTAAACAATAGGATATCTGATATAAATTTGATGTACGCCTGGGTTTTTGTTTGGGTTTTGGGTGTTTTTTTTTCCGAAATGTGGAATATAAGTAATGTTTTACCCATCTTTGTTTCAAATAAAAGATTTTCAGGACTGAAGAGCTGATAGTTTGAAAGCAGACCAGTAAGGGGAGCTCTTGCCAATATTTTAAGCTGCTTAAAAAAATTGTTGCAGCCTGGGCAGTGGTAGGTCAGAGACTTACTGTGCTTTGGACCATCAGATATGCTTTCAGCTGGAGATGAATATTCAGCTTCAAAGTGTCCTTCTAAAAAGATATTCACTGTTGGAGATTTTGGAATACTTTTAGCTCAGAAATTTCATAGCTGTTTAGGTATCCGGTGTTTTCTCTTTAGGCGTAGGTACACAGCCGTGCCACATTAAAATGGTGAGTCTGAAATGTGCTCTTGCTGTCAGATGTTACTGGTAGGTCTGTGTATCTCC